GGAAAGGAGGAGTGTGCTGTCACAGTGTGGGGAGAGCAATTAGGGTCACATAACAATGTATGGATAAATTTTTGTATGGGAGATTAACTTGAAATGTAAACTTCATTTAAACTACAACAATAAAAATAAGTAAATAAATACATTAAAAAAAAAAAAAAAACCCCTCGGAAACCCCATGGAGCAATTCTACTCTGTCCTGTAGGATCACTATGAGTCGGAATTGACAGCAACGGTTTTTTTTCTTAAAAAGAGGAGGCCTGGTGGCGCAATGGTTAAGCACTCGGCTGCTAACTGAAAGGTTGTCAGTTTGAACCGACCAGCTGCTCAGCAGGAGGAAGATGTGGTAGTCTTCTTCTGTAAAGATTACAGCCTTAGAAACCCTATGGAGCAGTTCAACTCTGCTCTACAGGATCGCTATGAGTCGGGATCGACTCCACGGCAATGGGTTTGGTTTGGATTTTTAAATGGGGTTGTTTTCCATCAAGCAAGAGTCCCTGGGTAGTGCAAATGGTTAACTCACTCAGCTGCTAACCTGCTAACCTAAAGGTTGGAGGTTCAAGTCCACCCAGAGGTACCTGGGAAGAAAGGCCTTGTGATCTACTTCCAAAAAATCAGCGACTAAAAACCCTATGGAGCACAGTTCTACTCTGACAAACATGGGGTCGCCATGAGTTGGTGCCAACTTGACAGCAACCCATTTTTCCACTGAGCAAGAGAGAATGTAGGAAGTGGGGACCCCTGGGTAGCCAGGAGGTAGTGCAAGGATGAGCCTTCCCTTCTGTTATGGATTGAATTGTGTCCTCCCAAAATACATGTTGTAAATTCTAACCTCTATGCCTGTGGTTATAATCCCACTTGGGAATGGGTTGTCATGTTATGTTAATGAGGGAAAATTAGGGTAGGGTGTATCTTGAATCAATCTCTTTTGAGATATAAAGGAGATTAAACAGGAGAGCAGAGCAGAGTTGGGGGAAGAAAGATGCCAAGCCACAGGAAGATCGCCCAGGAGCAGAAGCTCAAAGTGACAAGGACCTTCCTCCAAAGCAGACAGAGAGAGAAAGCCTTCCCATAGAGCCGGCACCCTGAACTGGGCCTCCTAAACTGAGAAAATAAATTTCTGTTTGTTAAAGCCATCCATTTGTTATATTTCTGTTATAGCAGCTAGATAACTAAGACAACTTCCTCTTGAGGTAGATGGATAACCAAGCACCTCAACCCACACCAACTTCCTAGGATGGAAAGTTTGCTCCTGTCCTAAGTGTTATCCAATGATTTAGGAGATAAGACTGGAGCCATTATTCCCTGTCCTAGAATGTTACCCAGCTGGAGCTGGACTTGCAAGGACCCAAAAGGACACATCAACTGGGCCCTGAGGTATAAAGACAATAGCTAGGACAATCTTGGAAAACATCTTTTAGGGAATCTTTCACATAAACAGGAAACCCTGGTGGTATAGTGGTTAAGAGCTACAGCTGCTAACCAAAAGGTCCGCAGTTCGAATCCACCAGATGCTCCTTGGAAACTCTATGGGGCAGTTTTACTCTGTCCTATACTGTCGCTATGAGTCAGAACTGACTCGACAGGAAAGGGTTTGGTTAGGTTTTGGTTTTTCACATAAACAAATCATAAAACACAGCACAAAAGACTCACATACTTTCCAGTCTTATCTTTTTTTTATTAGCATTCAGTGAATAGGAAGATGTGTTGAACCAATGAGGACCCTTCTGACTCTTGTTACTGAAACCTGTACCAATGATTTTTAAGAAAGACAATTCGAAATGTAGAATCACAGTGATTTATCAGTTTTTAGCCAATCTGTGAAAAGGTGAAACTTTCAGTGGTTTTGCCCATTTTGTAAAGTTAATATATACTGATGATTCCTCCGACTCAGGCAGACATGGCTTTCCCACACTTGTGTATTCTGTAATATTTCCTTAGACTCAGACAGACATGGCTCTGGCAGCATGCTTGCCCATTTCCTACTTTTGCCTCTTTGAACATATGCCGAATAAAACATTTCTTTTTGCTTTACTAAACTTTGTGATATTTTTACCCTAGAACACCAACAAGCCCGAAACCAAGCAGTGAGAAGTTGAGGAACCCACCCTCTCTCCTCCCCAGTGAGTCTTAACTTGTTCTGTTTTTTAGAGAAACCACCGCCTGCAGCTTTTAGTCTCGATCACAGACAGGCCTCTGTCCATCTCCACGTGGAGCCTGGAAGGCATAGCGGGGAACGGCCTGTCCTGTGTATCCACAACTCTACTCGCTCAGGGCGGGAACACTGGTCCTCCAAAGGTTTTCTTCCCCTCCACCGGTCATTCTGGGCTGGAGGCATGAAAGCCCCCCTCTCCAGCCTAGTAACGGGGGTAAATGACGCATAATTTATGAGCACATCAACCTGAAGAGCATAAGTCATATGTGCACAAAGGGGCCGGGTAAATATTTAAAGATTAGAGCCAGCTGGGAAGAGACACAAAGGGCTGGGACAATGGGGGTCTCTCTGAATTCACTCTCCCTGAGCTGGGCCAACCCGGTTCAGCGTTGATGCACTCACCAGAGTTCCAGCCTTTGTCCCCAGAAGGGCTCTTGGCTGCTGGGCTATTGGTAGTCCCAATACAACTAAAGAGAGTTAAACAATCGAGGCCTCTCCAACCCCATCTGGAAACAATCAGCCAAGTCATTTCAGCACGTTTGCTGTGTCCCAATAGTTAATTACACGGAGCAATCACTTCATTCCACTTTGAAAAATGCATCTGTATAGGGGGCTCTTCAAGTCACTGGCACCCACAGCAGCCTGCATGGTGCTCACCAGTTAGCATTGGCTTAGTTCCCCAGGACTGCAGTAAGGAAGTCCTCCCACCTAGGGCTGAGAGGCCTAGGAGCCAGGACGGCCCTCACGTTGGATGGACAGTGGGTCCTGTGGTAGGGCTCTTGTCCCGGGGCCTGCAAACTCCTCACTTCATTTTCAGACAAGGTGTGTCCTGCAATGTTTGTTCCTCACAAAAGTGTATGTGGGGAGCACACAGGCCAGTTTTGCCTTAAGTTCCCCAGGAAGACAGTGAGCTGCCCTGAGCAGCACCAGATGCCCCGAGAGCCCATAGGGGTTACAGAAGGAAACTTTCTTTCCTTGAATGAGCAGAGGGCAGTCTGGGTCTCCCCAGTGCCCGCCTAGACATGTGCTCTTTTCCAGGTGACTTGGGGGCCCAGATGCTAAAAATAGAAAAGGAGCGGTGGCCTACATTAGGGCTTGCGTAAGCCCGGCTTCTAAATGGGTCCTTGCCCTTCGTGGCAGCCAGAGAGTGCTTTGTCCTGTTTGCCTGCAGAGAGGACCCCTGCGCTGCTGCCACTTGCTCCCCCATATCTGAAAACGCCTCCCCTTGCCCACCCCCTCTGCTTCAGACCCACTCACCTGGTGCCTACCGAGGGTGCAGTAGGATGCTGAGGGGCATGACATGCAAACAGAGTGGGGGTACGGGAAAGTGGGACCCAGTCTGGGTCTCAAGGAAGGATCTCGTAGAGGTTTATCTGCTGTCTTTTCCAATGACCTTGCCAGGTGTCAAGAACTGACTTGAGTTTAGTGAGGGAAGCAGTTGCCCAGAGCCAGAAGCCTGAATTAGGGGGTAGGTTGAGGGTAGAGTGGAAGCTGCCTCCGAGTTCGAGAAGAAGGGGGGATGGAAATCGCAACCCTGGAAGCCTAAGGGGCCTCAGCCAGCTGGAGGTGAGGAGCGGACCAAGGGGGCTGTTGGCGGCGGTGGAGCCATGCTCTGGGCCAGGAGGCCCAGGAAGGGGTGTCAGCCCAGGTTGGGGAGACCCTTAGCCTAGGATCTGCTACAGGGGAGGGGGCACAGCGGCCGGTGCCTGGGAGAGGAGGGGCAGGGGGAGCCCATTAAACAGGCCGGCGCCTAGCGTGTTGGCTGTGAATTTCGCCCGGGCAGCTGCCGGCCGGCCTCGCCTCTTGTAGCCAAAGCAGAACATGGCGAATTAGCGCATTTTGCGGTCATCTTTCCATTGCTTAAGAAACACTGCGTTACCCACGTGAGCCGCCCCACCCAGGGCGGCCAGAATCCCGGGGCAAGGGCTCTGGAAGGGGGTAACCCGGGAGCGGCGGATGCTGTGGCGCGGGCGACGGAGGCCCGCGGGCCCCTTTATAGCGGCCCTAACTCTGGAGAGGGGGCGGACCCGGCGTCCCCGCTTTGGGCTGAGAAGAGCTACGCCCAAGGGCCATTGGTTTGCTAATGTGTCAGAGTTGAAAGGCGCGAGCGGCGGTTTATGGGAAGGGCATCGTAATTAGAGAACAAATTGCCTCGCTGCCCGCGCGGCCCCGTGTCGGGGGCAGGGGGCCTGCCTGGGAGAGGCGCGCGCCCGGGCCTCGGTGCAGATGTGCGACAGCTGGAAGACCGCGCGCGGCGGGGCGCCGGGAGTTTGGGGAGAGGGGCGGGCGCGGCCGCGGCTTTGTGGAGCCGGCACAATGCCCTTAACACTCGACTGCTCCCTTTGTGCCCGGCCGCGCCGTCAGCCCGGCCCGCGGTGCCTTTGTACCGCACAGCCGCCTCCCCAAGCCCGAAGCTCCCCGTGCCGCGGCCGCCCCGGCCCCGCCGGCCCCGGCGCTTCAAAGCTCCCGGCGCGTGCCAGAGCCTGCCGCCTAGCCTCGGCCCCGCCACCCGGCCCCGGGTCTGGCCCGGCCGGGATCTGGCCCGGGGGCTCTGGGGCCTGGACAGGACAGCGCCCTGAAGCCGCTATTGCAGTTGCAGCGGCCTGAAAGGGGGAGGGCGGGGCGCGATTCTCCACGCTGCTAGGCGCCTGGGAACTCCGCGGCCGGGCAGGACCAGTCAGTACTCCCGGGCGGGGCCGGGAGGGAGATGCTCCCGCTCCGGAGACCTGGGGGGCCCACCTGGGACTCAGCTGCCCACCTACCCCGCACGCCGAGGCCCACGGAGGCCAATAAGTTAATTTCTCTGCCGCAGAGCTCTCCTACAGAGCTTTTGCGTGCGGGTGACTTCCCCCACGCCCTCGGAAGCAGCAGCGGGGACCCCATTGTTTGAAGCCCATTTTACAAACCCCCAAATTAAGGCCACAAGAGGCCAGTAAAAGGAATTGTCTAGTTTCCAACCCAGGGATTCCTGGGACATTGTCCTAGTCAGTCGCAGCTACTGGAATCCAGCCTCCTGGGGACCGACTGGGGGGACTGAACTAGATTCCTCTTCCTAAGACCTAACCATCCAGGGGCTCACATCTCCTCCCCTGGGCTCCCAGGCCTTGGATAAGGGAAAGGGGTGTTGGTGGCTCTGAAGGGCCCTCCCAAAATGCAGACTCTCCCCAGACATTTCCCCAATCAGTGGGCACGCTTTCCCCCTCCTGCTCCTGGAGACAGATGAAAGACCTTTAGGCCTTCCCAGGGGGAAGGGTCCTCCTTGGAGCCCAAGTTGCCTAACCTCACTGCCTAGGGCTAGGGGTGGGTTTGGGGACCAGGCCATTCTGATTCACCTCCACCCTGCACCTGCCCTGCGTTGCCCCCATCCAGAAGAGTCTTTTACCAGGTCCCATGGCTGAAGGTGCCACCATCCACTCTACAGCTTGATACAGGAGCCTCCAAGGCCCTAGGCCCCAAGCAAGGACGAGGCCAGTTATGGCCCTGCAGGCGGGCTGCACGCTTTAATGGGACACATGTCGCTGCGTGGCCCCCGCGGGTACTGCCAGAGCCTGGCTTTGAGTGGCCACAGGCAGAAAATCGCTGCATTGTCCCGGACATTAGGGCGACTAATGGGCGTCGCAGGCGCGGCCAGCGTGAAACGCACAGAAAGGCCTAGCTGGCAGTGCCTCCTGCCTCGGCATCTTCATCAGGCCGTTGGTAGGCGATCCGAGCACAGCCGAAGTTATTAGCGCAGCCCAGGCAGGCCTGGCTCACAGACCTCCCCCAGGGCGACCGCCTAGGGACCAGTGGAGGAACCCCCATCAGCTGCTTGGAAACAAGGGGCATAGCCACCCAGAAAGGGGGCCCGGTGGGAAGGCCCAGATTCTACCGGGCGTACAGAGGGGAGGAGTCCCCAGACTCGGGAAGTGCTCGGGATTAGAGAAATAAAGGAAAGACAGAGAAAAAGGAAAAGGGGTCCCTTGGGAGGGAGGAAGGGTCCCTCGGGAGGGATGAGGGGTCTCTGAGGCGAGGCCAAAGAGGAAACGACCAAGCAGAGGAGGTGAGGAGCCTTCCCGGTTCGTCCCCCTCCTGCTCCCTCCCCCTCCGTGTTTCTCAAGTTGGGAGCGCCTCATTGACATGTAAACGAGGGGCCCCTATAAAGACTGTGGCGCCTTCCGCCGTCGCAGAGCCGACAACATGGGCACGGAGCCCGAGACCCGGGGCAACCCTGCAGGCAGCTTCCGAAAGGTCTGGGTTCCGGAGGAACGTGGAGGGTGGAGGGAGCCTGCCCGGGCCGTCCGGGGGCAGAGGGCGGGAGGGCAGTGGCCCTGCACTCAAACGGGTCGGCTTGCCCACAGGTCTCTAAGCCGCTGATGGAGAAGAAGCGACGTGCACGTATCAACGTGTCACTGGAGCAGCTCAAGTCTCTGCTGGAGAAACACTATTCACATCAGGTGAGACCTGGGGATGCGCGGAGCGGGTGACTCAAGGTCCTCAACCGCATTCCTCCAGGGCTGCCCAGCTAAAAGCTTTTCCCACTGATCCGCAGATCCGGAAACGCAAGTTGGAGAAGGCGGACATCCTGGAGCTGAGCGTCAAGTACATGAAAAGCCTGCAGAGCTCCGTGCAAGGTGAAGAGGAGTCCGGGCCTGGAGGGGGTGGGGCTCCAGGAGCTGGGGGGTGGGGGGCGCCTGTAGGATCAGAGACATGGATATGACAAGACCAGATTGGGCGGGGGATGGGGCAGGTGGGCAACTGAGTGAGGAGAGGACTCCAGCCCACTGGGGGGCGAGGAGAAGACGCAAAAGGCGGATTGTGGGCGGAGGTCTGGAACCCGGGGAAGGCATTCGGGAGGTCTCACCTCCCCTCTCTTTTCGTCTCACCTTTCCCTCCACACTTCTCCCCTCCCTTTCTCTTCCCCTCCACACCTCTCCTTTCCGCCTCCCTTCTTTATTTCTCCCCTTCATTCCCCTTCCCAGGGTTCTGGCCGGCCCCTGGCGGCGCCGAGTACCCGTCGGGTTTTCGCGGCTGCCTGCCGGGCGTGAGCCATCTTTCGCAGCGTGGTGAGGGCGGCGGCCTGCGCTGCCCCCTGGTGCCGGAGAGCGCGGGCGGCAGCACCATGGACAGCGCAGGTCCTGGTTCCTGCCCCGAGGCGCCCGCGCTGCGCGGCCCCTGCTCCGGCTCGATCTGGGCTGCCGCTCTGGCTCCGGCCACTGGCGGCCCGCGGTCCCCGCCACCCCGGCTGCTTCTTCCCGGAGGCCCCCCTGACCTGTCCACCAGCGTCCCGGCGCCTCAGCCAGCGTCGCGCCGCCGCCCCGAGAGTCCAGGCCCAGGGCTGCGCTTGTGGCGGCCCTGGTGAGGCCCAGGCGGGCGGAGCGCGGGGAGGCCGTGCGATCTCGGACTGATCGGGGCCGTGTGGGGCCTAGGGGCGCAGGAACTGTTGTGGGCGCACCGTGGCTTCCACCCTCCCGCCCGACGCGCTCAGGCCGGACCCACTCCCTCCTCCACCCACCCTCTAGTGGGGCTGGAAGGGGGGGTTCCGGGCTGCGCCCCTTTCCCAGGGGCCCGGCCCCGCCCCGCGGCCATGCCACAGTGGAAAGGTCGCTGTCGGCAGCGGCGCAGAGCGGACCCCTGGCAGCGAGGAGAATCGCTGCCCCGCCCCGGCCCATTCAGCCGGCCGCAGGCGCCCGGTTCCCACCGGCACAAAGCACGCCGGGCCCCGCCTCGCCAGCGAGAGACCCTCCCACTCTACCCCCACCCTGGACCCCTCTCGACTGCCACCGACCCCCACTCCCTCTACAAGCGACCAGGCCAACTGGGAGGACAGGCTCTCCAAGCCCGCCCTCTAGGAAGCCCCGCCCACGAGCTGGCCCTTTCCCCCGTTGCAGGCTCGGAGCTCTAGCCCTGCCCCTAAGATGCTCCGCCTTGGTCACCCCACTGCCCAGAGTCGCCCCGCTCGGTTCCAGAAACGCCCGGCCTCACGCAGTCCCAGGGAGGGACCTGGACGTGGGTCGCGCCAGCCTGAGGACTGCAATAGCGAACCCGGGCGCCTCTCGTAGGAAGGTTCCCCGATCCTTGCTCAGCAAAGACCCCTGGCCCGCAGTTCAGGCCCTCAGCAGCTCAGCCCCAGCACAGCACAGCCCCCGCCTCCGGACCCCTGGGGCCCGCCTGGAAGCTCATGACCCTCGAGGGCCTCCAGAGCGTTCTGCGCCTCAGTTTATTTGTCAGTAAATAAGGACATTGGTATACTCGGAGACGTCCAAGTCAGTGTTTCTTCCCCTGGACCTGTAGCCCGGGACTCCGAGGAGCGGCCTTGGCGGGGGTGGGGACAGGGGTCTCGCGCCGAGTTCAGGAAAGATCCCGGCACCTCTTCCCGTTGTAATTCAGAATAAAGAGTGCCCCTCTAACGTGGGTATAAAGGTGCCAAGGAGATTCTGATTTCTCCCACGATGTCTACCGGAATGCTTCTTTTTGAATCACAAATACCAACTTCCTATAGAAAGACTTTCTTGTTTTGGGCTGCCCCTGACTTGTAGGTGCGCAAAACCAGTTTCAGTGGCACTGCGGGGAGCCTGACAACCCTACCACACCCAGCGGTTCCCCGGAGCGCAGAGCAGGGGCGAGGCTCCCGGCTGTGGCTGTCACGCTGATCTAGGCTTCTCGCTGCTCCAGGCGGGGGCCGCTGGGACGAATCCTTCCGTTGGCCACCAGGTGGCGGCCTTGCACTGTGGACCCAAGGCTTCCAAATTCCAACAGAGAGGAGGGCAGCTGGAAGGTCTCAGGGCACAACTGACCCCTCGCTCCCCAGGTCCCAACAACTGCCTTGCCCAGATCAGCCTTCTGCATTAAACTCACTTGGGCTGATGGCCCCTAAAGCAGTTCCAGTGGCAAGGGCTCTCATCTGTGCTAATAGTGCCCTTCGTGCTGGTGGGGCTTTGGTGCCTACCCCATCACTCTATTCTGCAGCTGCTCCAGGCCCAAGTCAATTGCTGGGTGGGGTTGGAGCACTTGCCTGAGAAAGGGGACAAGTCAGATCCCAAAGAATAAAGCACTATTGGAGGAATTTCAGGTTCCCGAGGGAGAGAGATTTGGGAGGGTCAGTTGTCCAGTGGTGCTGTTAGGTTCTAGAACGGTGTTTTCATGAAACCAGCTTGGGATGCCGAGTGCAAATCATAAGGGAGTTTTTAATGGGTCCTGTACAGAAGAGTACCTGTATAGGGTCTCTGTGAGTCACAATCGACTCAACAGCAGTGGGTTTGGTTTGGTGGGTACAGAAGAAAAATGCTCAGTTGTGAAAAGCTACAAACAGATTCCTGGCTCTGGGCTGCAGCGCAGTGGTACCGGCAGAACTCCCTCCCCAGGTGCCCAGGGTCAAGCTTTTTATAAATGTAGCCAACAGGCCTGGATGCTGGACAAAGTGGAGTGTGGAGCCCTGGATTTCAGGGTCTTCCATTTAGGGTCCCCTCTTTTTTTGTAAAAATCAAGACTGGAGGGAATTTGGGGACCACATCCCCTTGCAAGTATTGCCGTTGGATATGATATACACAGAATGAAAACCCAAGATGACAAATGGGCCAGCCTGAAGGGAAGACCGTGGCTAGCCGTGGTCCCTGCCCCCACATGAAATGTTGGTCCTTGAAGGCACAGCAGCATTGGCCGGAGGCAGCCCCTTCCATAGCCAGGCTCACCTGTGGCCAGCTCCTCTCTCAGTTACCCCACATCCAGGGACTGGAGGGGCCTTCGAGGCCCAGACAGAGGCAGGCAGTCCCACCGTCCCACGCCCAGTAGCCTCCTCCTGGGCTGGGACCTTGTCTGGAGGGTGAGGAGACAGGCTTGGCCACTTGTGGGGCAGAGGCAGTACTGCAACGCCAGGTTTGTGCAGCACGAGGAACAGGGTGCAGGCTGGCTCTGGGCTGGCCTCAGAACTCACTCCAGTTTGTCAGGTTTAAGGGCTGCTGCATGGGGGAAGGGCCAGGAAGTGACAGCCTCAGCAGACGCCCTGCGCCTCCACCTCCAGGTCACAGCTGCTTCTGGGCCTCTCTTTAGCCTGAGTCTAGGGTCTTCCTCCATGAAAACCCAGCAGGCCTTTCCTCAGACCCCAGGGCAAAGCCCAGGCCTGCATGGGGCCAGAGGCTGCCCAGGAAGGAGAGCAAAGCCCTGTCACCAGGGTGGGGGGCGACTCTCACCTGCACAGGTGGGGAATGAGGCTGGGGATGGGCACCGGGTTAAGGGAGCCTCACTCTCCCTTTGCTTTAGGCCTTTCCACTCATGTGCTCACAGCCTTCATAGGGGGAGTCACAGAGGTGGGTGACAGGTGGGGACAGGCAACAATGGCATGTGATGAGGGGGGAACACTAATGGTCATCAAGGTGGCCATGGTGCCAGTGGTGATGTGCAACTGCTGTGCTTAACTGGACTGGGGTGTGAGCTCCCAAGGGAGCTGGGGGCACCGAGAGTGGGAGGCTTCAGGCCCGGGAGCCATACCACAGTCCCCTCAGTGGCCAGGGCACACGGACCAGGAGACTTCTCCAAACAGCCCTGAGAGTTAACAAGGATCACCTGCTCATCACAGATGGGGAAACTGAGGCAGAACAGCTCTGAAGCAGGGAGACCTGCTCAGAGAGCTGGTTTGGGCTCTGAAGACCCCTGTGCTTTGAGCCCCTCTGCACCCACCCCCACGGTGTGACAATTACAGTGCAGAGAGGAAAGCCGGCACAGTCCAGAGGCTGCGGCTCCAGCTCCTTCAGGCACGTCTTCGTTCTTTCCGATGGCCGCTCTGACCCGGGACTCCGTAACCTCATCCCCATTTAGCTGCCACAGGGCTGGATGGGCGCAGCTGGGCATGCAGAGCCCCGCCTTTGCCAGCTTCAGATCCTATTCAGGAGATGCCAAGCGTTCCAGCCCGTCTTCCAGGGCAGCCGTTGCTCCTCCAGGCAATGCCCCTCTCCCCGGGGCGGCAGGGAGGAGCCAGACGAGGAGGCGCTGAGGCTGCCCCCTCCCCGGGGGGTGGCACAGGTCTGGGCAGGGTAGGCGGGCTCAGAGCGGGCGGTCCCGAGTCCTGGGCGGGACCGAGGTCGAGTCTTTGGTCTTGGGCCCCGCCGGCGGCACGGCTTGTTCAGCTCCGTGGGGTGGGGGCCCATCGGGCCCTAGGACGCCGAGCCAAGCGAGTCCGAGTGCAGCGTGACGTAGCCCGAGGACTCGGAGGGCGAGCTCAGGAAGCTGCTGGTGCTCCCGCCGCCGCCCGTCGAGCGCAGGCCATCGGGCTCCCCCCATGATACGCTCACGCCAGAGCGCAACGGTCGGAAGGGCGCGGGCGGGTGCGGCCTGGGGCTCAGCTTCGCGTCGCCGCTAGGGGGCGCCTGGAGCTTGGCGGGGGCCGCGGGCGAATCCGGTCCTACCGGCGCCGGCAGGCGGCGGAGGGCCTGCGGCTCGCGCTCGAAGGTTGTCAAGGCGAAGGCGTCGGGCAGCAGCGAGGCCGATG